GTTACACATGTAGTGGCAATGGACCTAAAAGAAATGCCATTGAATCACAAATACTTCATTTTTGGCACGCTGAAGTATAGCAATTTTAGATTGGTCTACAGAAGTTACTACGTTAGAGAAGAAAAGATGGGATTGAGTCCTGACTGCGCCCTCGCTTTTGCCCCTCCATGCCTCTGCCCAGCTCTACAGAGGTTAGCTTTTTGCTTTGATGAAGTCATTTAGTGTGTTCTATTCTATTCTTTTTTATATTATGTTTGTTATCATGCATTCAAATATTATAAATATGTGTTTTCAATCCCCAAAGAGTACATATTAATTTTCTGCAGGAATTACAAAATATTGCTTTTACAGATGTGAAACTGTATAGCTTCTTCCCTGTAAAGGCATAGAAGTACAGACTTTGCCTAAAACCTTGGAACAAACCTTCATTTACAAGACAAGGGAATCATTTTTATTCCACTACATGAATTCAGTGGGCTGCCACAGGCCAGTCATAATCTGTTATTGTTTCCCTGCAACCTTGTACTATTAATTTTTCTTTTTAATGAACTGTCCAGTCTAGTTTAGCTATGGGAACTATGATGGAGCTGCAATATAAATGGTTTATGTCATGCCTTTGTCAAAAGGCTTTCCCCTACAGCACTAGAATGTAATTGAAAAGCAATTTTAAAATAAAGTAACTGAACGGTTGCAAATGCAGGTTGTCAGGAATAAAGTGGGAAAATCCTTAGCATTACATTAGGTTTTACCAATCACAACTTGTGTCACTTTGTTAGTGTTCATACAGATTAGTAAAGCCACATAAATTGCATATGTTTGCCTGGTTGTATTAGCGAGTATTCCTGAAATATACTGAAGCCATTTTTAAGAAGTATTTCTTCAACTATAACTAACAATGCAGTAATCACTTTGGTTAAATACCTCAAAATAATTAAATACACTAAGTTTTGCTTTATTTTATAGCATACAGAATATGTCCATGTTTGAGACAGCAAACTAGCTTCTGAGTAGAACTCAAGATAGTTTTTGTTGCGTATGAAACATTGAATGGCTGAGTACACAGTAGTTTTTAATATATAATACATATGTGCAAGACGCACAACTGAGTTTTCTAGCTCTGGATATGTGTTTCTTGGAAGCACAGTGCCGTATGTTTTAATATATGTTATAATAATAATTATTATTAAAGCCAAAAGAGAGTATATATAGAGAGCATTTATAACTGAAGTTGACAACAGTTTTCTCAATAAATTCCCATCAAAATTGTTTCTGAAAGACTTTGATTTAGCTTTTGGTTCACACTTCTTACCTTTAAAATAACTGGAAATTTTGACAGAAATTAATTTTGTCAGAACATAGACTTCACAACTAAATGCAAAATATTTGAAGCTGTTTTGACTCACAAGCGACTGAATTTTTGGTGAGTTTTTTAGTCAATATATCAATCTTTTAATACCTTTTTCTCCTCTTGCAGGAAAAAAAGGCCAGTCTCTGCATTTTGTGCAGTGCAGTTTCTCCTTTGCTTAGGCAAATCTCATACCTTGGCGGAACCTCAGTAATTTCCTGTGACCTAGCCCAGCCAGGCTGCTCCACACAGGGCAGAGCACACTGCAGCTCAAACAGGGCTTGGATTTCCGAGAAAGCTGGGAAAATGCAGAGATGAGTGTTTGATGACTCAGCTGTTTGAGCATTTGAGCCAAAACAAACATTTTGTCACTGAGACTTGAATTTCAGTTCAGGTACAAGTTAGTTTTTTCCAACAATAGACTACACCTTTCAACAAGTCAAGATTCTTTCAAGGCAACAGTACTTCATAGAAATACTTTTCTATTAAAAAGCAGATTTCCCCACTTGAGGTCTTTTAGAAGTCTTTGTAATTTACAACAAAATAATTATTGTTCTTTGGTATCTGTTTGACCAGGATCTATGCCTTATAATTATTCTAACAATATTTCCAAAGGTGTTTTAACTCCAGCCAGTCTTGAAGAGCACCAACAAATCAGAAACAACAAATTCAGACTCCATCTCATTACACAGATTATGTTAAACGGGACTGACACAAGCAGATCACTCTTCTTAACATTCACTCTCAGGCTTTACTTTAAGTACAACCTAAGGATTCGATGTACTTTGGAACAGCACCCTACTAAATCACATATGAGCCTATTTCATTTAGACTACTAATATCCATTCAAAAACATATGTAACAATCCTGCACATATACTAGGTGTTTGTTCTGTGTAGTAGTTCTGTGAGTTGAAGTTAAGAATTCAAAAATTCAGGTCTTAAAACCTATGTAAATGGCTACTTGTATAGAAACGAATTGAGACATATAATAGAGGATAAAGCAGGCAATTGGAGATGTAACACTTTCTGTTCAGATATGTAGGCCTCATTAAATGTGCTAGCACTGTAATAAGACAGGGTGATTCTAAGTAACTGAAAATTAATCTTCTTTCTACATGGCATGTGTGCAGAAACAAAACTACACATCAATTTCCTTCCAAGACCTACTTTGTATGTCAGGAATACTATATTTTTCCCATTACAGTCTAGGCTTACTATGTGAGAATTAAAAACAAACAATAAAATGGGTGTTAGATATTAAAGAGATATACAAATATCTCAAAGCATACATGATACAACACTATTTTCCACGTTCAGTGAGTGAACCGATGTTTCTCATCCTATATGAGGGCTTTTAAAATATGGCAGTATTGTTTTCTGGGGGTCTCATGGTCCCTTTATTAATCCACAATGCTTTTCAGAGTAATATAATTGAGAAGAAATGTATCTGTTGTGCCTACTCTCACCCCCTCTAGAACTTCAGTATTGAAAATCCAAGCAGTATAGGGAGGAAATCTCTAGTCAGGATATTCCCACTTAATGAAGCTACCGGCCATCTTCTGGTGTGACTGAATAGCCAAGCCAATGGTACAGCTCCAAATGAGCTCAGTAGTGCCTTTCTGTCTGTCCTTTGTTCTTTGTTCCATTAACAATAGTCAAACATGAATATTTTACCTTCTCAACTGTTTGATTATCTAGATACTGTAACAGGAAATTTGCATTCCTGAACAGGCACAGCTGGAAACAATTTAAGAACGAACCTTCAAAGGAAGAGAATTTAAGGAGCATATGGATGCCCAGGTTTACATGATAATCAACAAAAGCAGTTCTTGTTCCTCCTCTTTTGCAGGGAGGCACTTCACACTCCAACCAGAGGGAACATCCCACAATCACTCTGCAGGAAGCTTTCTTTCAGGAATTATTTGCTTTAACTCTGATATGTAAAAAAGTCTACAAAAATAGACACAACAGTTCCTCAGATAAGACATGAAAAAAACTTGAGTAGAGACCCAGTTCGTTAAATTCGCTTATGTCATGTACTAGTGAGAGTGATGGGCCTTCAAGTTTTCCTTTAAGGTTATTCCTCACAGTTCTTTAATTCATAAAAATTAAATCTGCTTGGAAGCGTAGCTCTGAAGTCAAGAATGAGTAGAGTAGAAAAAGGCCTGAACTAAACCTTGAACTGAGATAAAAGAAAATGCCAGAAGAGGCAAACTGAAACAGTGGTGAGAAAATTCACACAACTGTACATGGAAGGGAGACTCAGAGAAACTGAACACGTATCTAATTTAAGGTATTTTTTCTATGTCTTCTTGATACCCATATATTAATTTGAAACCTAATCAGGAAGTCTTTAGTCAAACCCAGCTCTCTTTAACTTCATTCTATTGAAAAGCTGTATCTGAACAAGAACTGAGCATTTTTTGCCAAATTTGGCCCTTCTGTTTAGTAAACGACAGGATAAAAAACTCACATGCTGAGCTACAGCTCTTCCCAAGAAGCCAAGGAGCTTTACACATTTCCCATCTAAATTAAATTGAATGTTGTTGGTATCACTGTCAAATACACTCTGTTTCAGTCTGATACTAACTGCTGCAGTCTACCTTAACAAGTTGGTGGATACCATAAGCCCATATCCTAATACAGCTGCTCACAAGGATGTTTAAGTATATGGCCCATTTGGCTGCCAGAAATAAGGTTATCATCATTCAAGGACATTTCCACAGAAATGAAGCATCTGTCAAGCAGGACTTGAGTGCATTGAATGTAAAAACTGTGAATGAGTCAGCTAGACAGGGAGCTTTAACATCCTGGTTTTGTACTCTTTATCCTAGACAATTCAGATGGGATCATGCCTTTGATTCTGTAAAAATGATAGTATTTACATATTTATTATCTATTACATTTAATCTGTTTCTGTGTTCATTTTAAAAAAGCATGAATACTTCCGTAAGTGGACAAGTCTCACCTCTGAAATCACTGGTTTCAGTAATATCACAACTGAAAGTCATAGAGGATTGAAAAATTAAGGGCATCAGAGCAGCAGATATAACTGGTTTTAGGTTTAGGGTTTCCCATACTGCTCTATTTCCACATTTTCCACAGCCACCTTCTCTGAAGCCTAATGATCACCACTAAATTATTTTTCTAATCCAAGTCTGAGTAGGTATATTAAGCTCAGTGGTACTGCACAAAATATTGGAGAAACAAACCAAATAGGGAATTAATCACTCATGTAGGCCTAGAACAAGAAAAGTAGAAATCTTTTTGACTGATAAAAGCAAGTTGGAAACCTAAATATTAAAAAGTTTCTTACATTTCTGCTCTTCATTCCTGTGAGTTTTCAAGAAGTTCTCTGGTGTTTTAAACAAGAAATTAAACAAATGTGGTCTAAAAAATGCACTTTATCAAACCGTGCTTTATAGACATAGAAGGATGGTCAGTGTCTTATAACATCAGCTCTCCTGAGTGACAATCAAGACCAGTGGATAAACTCTATGATGCATGAGAAAATCTGGCTGAAAGCACACATCAAGCAAGGGATTAGTCATTGGAGAAATGTTGCCTGTATCGTAGGCACTACAGAAAAAAAGAGACTAGCTATGCATATCTTACATCACTCAGAAGACCATATTTTTGGATGTACTACTTACCTTCACCCACTGGAAACTTGTTGCCAATTTATGTAGCATATTCCACACATTTGAAATGTCACTTAATGAGATTATGATGACAATGCAGATGTAAACTTTCTCCTGCCACTTATCCAGTACTTCAGCTCTGGCTGCAAAGAATGAAAAAGTTTGTTTGAAATCTAATGTTGGTACCATAACAAAAGAAAACTAAAGTCTAGCCTATAAACTATCAAAGTAGCCTAAAGAGAGTTTAAAGACTAGCAATTAAATAATACTTATAATTCCAAGGAGAAAATTAATAAATAGCTTTTATCTTAACAGATTTACTGTCGCAAGAATGTTCCCATAACTAAAATGCTGGAGGCCACATCAAAATTCCTTCACATCTTTTTTGTTATCTCCTGAAAAAACAGAGTTCTATGGAAAAATCTGTTCTGGGAACAATATTCAATACCAGACACAATGTGGGGAAAAAAGTAACAGCTGCAGATATCATTAGCCAAGAAGAAGTGCTTTGAATATTTCTCAGCGCTCTAAAAGCATATTAGAAAATTAGTATTTTTACCATTTTGATGGAGAAGGGAGTAGATTATTTTAGTAAGTAGAACTACCACTACAGTAGGGGAAAGATATCTAGGATAAAACATTTGAAGTAAGAAAACGAGCAAGAGGTGCCTCTGCCTGTAAGAAGTTCATTCATAGTTGTTCCAGCGGTTAAAATTCTTTCAAAACCGGATAGTGAGTTGAGACACGGTATAAACGGTGTATAAACAAAAACAAAGCAGCTGAACAATTTCTTATGAGGTAAGTCTTTAATTTAAATTTGTAAGTTAAGAATGCTCACAGTTTCACAGAGCAGTCCCTCATCATCCTGTGTTCCTGATAACATGTTCCCACACAAGTAAAAAATATAGTTAATGTGACTGAACACAAAAGAAATACTCAGTGTGATCTATTGTTATGTACTGATGCAGACACTGTATTTCTGACACTCATTTGATACCTTGATAGACTCTTAAATGGGTACTAAATGTATCCTAGGATTCGTTCTAGCCAACGAAATCAGGCTAGATTACCCAGGGCTTTCAAATTTATTAATCGAGAATTTCTAGGAAGAATTATTGCAATATAGCCTCTGTAATGTGGGTTGACACATCCAAATCAGTAATTTTCTGCAATATTTAACTGTTAAAGCTGTCTCATCTATATAAATCCTCCATTTTATACCCACTTTTCATCCCCATTAAAGCAACCAAGTTTTAATTGCAAAAAATAGTTCATCAGCACAGGCCAAATTTCAAAGTTGCTAGAAAAGTGTTGAGAAGAATGAATAAGTATTGACTGAATAGTATATATTCGATATTGCAATATTACATAAACATATTTCACACTTAAACCACCAAAGGAAGAAATAGTCATGTGGCTTCTCTTGCCAGTTGTGACTGCAAATATGCTGACTCACTGTTTTAAAAATTTGTGATACACATCTAATAAAAAACAGATTCCCAGAAAGTGAGTTTTGCTAAGGCAAGCTCTATGAAGTAAGGTATGTTTTGTGTGATGAACAAGTCACTAATACGTAAAGCACTTGGTTTATAAAAATACTCTACACATGCAACATATTTATGCAATTTGCTATGAAGTACACATGGCATTTTCAAGTATGCTCATTTTGCAAGGAATTTTCTTCTTTTTGTAGAGGACCCTTTTGAACTAATTCACAATTCGTATGAATGAATGAAAAGAAAGACTAAAACTGTATAAAATTCCTTATTTTGATAACTTGTTCAATATCTTTACAGATGACTTTGCAGCTCGACTCATTTTTGCCAAAGACATTTGAAGTTGCTTAGATGAGTATTTCTCAAAATATCCTCTTACATACCCCTACACTAAGTTTTTTTTGAGATTAAGTTTTTTTCTGTGTATAGACCTGACCACCAGTGAAATGCCCACATACATAATAGTTCAACTGTCAAGTAAAGGCTCCATTTTCCAGGTATACTACATTTAAACAGACATCAGAGGTTACAAATCAATATCTTTTTGTAGCACTAATCATTATTTGAAGCAAATAAATCTTCATATTAACATCAAGCAGGGAGAGAGAAACTCCTCCAGATACCCTTTTCCATTAAAAACATTATTTAAGACTGCTGAATGATTTCCATCATTACTATAGCACAAGAAATAGTTTAGCTGATTAATTGATACATAGGTATTGGATACTACTTTTACTGCCCATTATGTTTTTATTTTCTTATTTTCTGCTGCAGTTGAATATCGCTTCAACAGTAAGGTTCTACTAACTCTACAACTTTCACAAAAGGGAGAAAAGCCAAAAGAAAAACGACTGCTATGTTTACAGGAGGTTGTTTCAAAGTCCAATTATAATTACAAGAAAACTCAAAAAAAACATCCATTAAACAGTTCCAATGCTCCAAATAGATTTGACACAGTGGCACTTTAAATCAAATCTCCTAACAAGATTTTTTTTTTTTTTGGTAAAATAAGCCGTGGCTTCAGAGTCGGTTTATACAAAGTGACAGCTCGAACAATTTTGAAATGTTGCTAGTTAGAGGGGAAAAAAAAAACCAATCCCATTGTCACTATGGTAATTATTTCACAATGCCTGATGTTAAATGGGCAGTCCTGTGGCCTGAGAAGCAGCTGAATCCTGCATTGTCCTTGCATGATAAAAAGATCTGAAAGTCTGAAAAGCAGAGGAACGGAATCTCACAGCTTCTTAGACTTCACTCTGAAAGGGCCATTGTAACATCATCATAAATCCTGGGCTCCCCAGGCACTTGACAACTAAAGCAGTGGACAATAGAATTCTTGTGTTGAACAAAACACTCCTTGTCTGCCAAAGGGCTTATCTGCTTCATTTACAAATGTCTTTCGTTGTACCAAAATAATTCCCTATTAGAAAAACTATTAGGAACAGAACTAAATAAATATTCACAGCTTTGTGGTCTGTTTGGCAAAATGAATAAACTAATACAATCAAGAAGCATGCAAAATATGAGATTTAAATCAAGGAAACCCAGAACAACCCCAAACCTCTATTTATTTTCTTCTCTTCATTTTCCCCCTTCCTGATCACAGGGAATTACACTGAATACACATCCGTCTCTACAAAAGATGACCCAGGTACATTACACTCACTAAAAGAGATGAAAAATGTTAGAAATCTGCAAAGATCTTGAATTGGAGCAAAATTGTATCCAATGTACTTTTGAAGTTAAATATTTTCAGAAGAGCAATTACAGAAATAAACTTGAGAACATAAAGGAGAGTTTAATGAAATAGAGACAAAACACTTACAAACATAAAAGTATTTAAACTGTGGATTTATAACTACATATGTTTAGGTCTTTGTAACTGAGAGATACGAAGGGATCAGTTAGGGATCCGTTTCTGAAATAAAATGGTCGCCAGATTATTCAACTTTTTTTAAGCCAAATAAAAATTCGGCAGCTATCACAGAAATGACTGAGAGAGACTAAGATATTCCAAATACATACACACACACACATATATATATATGTACAACTTCAAAAAGCATTTCTAACATAGAATTCCATTGCATCAGGTTTCCACATAAACAGTGACTTGGTTACAATTCACTAGAAAAGTGCTTATGGAAAGACAACTTACACCATACACAATTATTGAGAAAAAACCCTACCAATCTAAAGTATTGCTCAAGAAGACAGTACTGACCATATTCAAAGTGCCAGAGCAATCTGTACAGCTGAATTAAAACCTGAAGTTGAAACTTCTTGACTGAATTATCCATCATAAAATACTTATTCAAATCCAGTATTAAAACAATATTTTTACGCAGACCAGGCAAATGGGCTGAGTGGCTGAATATCTTTTTTTTTTCTCCCCTGTGTCTAATCACAAGCCTACAAAACATACAGGTTATTTCTAACCTGCATATTAAACACGTACTTAAGCGGAAAAATTAAATATTCAGAATGTACACAATAAACAACAATGCTGTTTAAATGAAAAAAAAAAGTCCAACCACATTTAAAACAAATATAACACAAACATGAGACAGAATCCAAGACTTAGGAATATGTGAGCTTTCCATGGTTCCACCGCGAATTTGCAGTCTGACCCTGGCACACGTCACTTAACCTTGGAGCCATATCTAAAAGTGAACAAAGGCACACTACAAAACATTTCACCTATGAAAAATGTACTAATCAGTACAAAAATCAGAGGAGACGGCCTGAATGCAGACCTCCCACATGCCAGCTGAGTATCTCTACTGTTTGGGTGCAAAGCTTCGCCGTCTTTTCTCTCACCTTCTCTCCTCAGCGAATAATTAACTGTTCTAAACATAGAGGTATAAGCTCTGATTTAAAATAAAGTTCAAACTTGACTTCTTGTATGCCATTTTTTGATGTTTGCTATTTTATGCTATGCATTGCCCAAATTCCCCTCCCTCTTGAAGCTGATCATCTCTATAAATATAATTTGCACAAAGTTATTCTGATCATTTAGGTAAGTCGCAATTGAGGAATATGTCTTCAACAAAATCTGTTTCCTGCCAGCTCTCATAGCTTTATTCTAGTTCCTACTACGTGACACACAACCACACCATATTTTTATATAGTCAGCAGTCTCTGTTTAGGTATAAAAAAATGGATCTGCACTGAAGTTTAAGTCTTTTAGCGCAAACCTGGCATTTAACTCTGCTAGAGAATATATATCTGGGTGCCTTGACTAGGATGGTAATGTCCTTGGCTATGTATAAATTGCCCCTACAAGCTATTATCTTAGTATCTAAATAAGCTTATGCTTGGAATCAACTTCCAGAGGCATCTATCTTTTTCCACTTACTACAGGCAGTTGAGTAATGTGAATCCCCACATGCAGCAACCAATATAGCATCCTAGAATAACTTAAGGTGGGCAGGGACCTCTGGAGGTCATTTGGTCCAACCCCACTGCTGAAAGCAGCACCAGTTTCAAAGTTACTTTAGGTTATTAAAGCTGTCACTTCATCAATGTTAATAGTTGAAATTAGCAGCATGACCAAGGTCTCTCTGAATGCTTTAAGGGCTTACCATTTTATGCTGAAAGTCGGTCACATGAAAAGTAATAGAACAAAACAAAGGGCAAGAATTGTACCAT